ATGGTAATAGGAACATTGGGGGCTCCTAGACATCAGCATTGTGGTGGGTACGATGCCTTCGGCAGATGGTATGGATTCTGCCACAAAGAAAAAGAAGGTGTTTCTTGTCTTGCTGATGGAAAAGCTGGTCAAGAAGACATACAAAAAATCAAAAATGGACATTGCCATCAAGAAACGCCTATTTGAAAAGACATGGGCAGATGTTAAGGACACGGACTTTGACATCAAGGTTCAAGATTCAAAGATTCAGTGTTTATTGTCATATGCACAGTATGGAAACATGTTTCTCTGCACAGTAAAATTCTTACTTTGCCGTCCACCCTGAATGCCAAACAACACAAGCGAAAAACTTTTGAAAAAACTCAGCAAGGCCATTGTCAAAGAACTTTCTTACAACTGGGACAACTCAAAGATGCTTCTGGTTTCCATGAAAAGAGAGGAGCCAAGAGTGGAAAAATGCATTGCATCATCTATCAGACACTACTTAGCAAAACCAAAACAGCGTATCACTGTCCTCAGAAGCAGAGTTGCTGTGGTGTAGGTGAGTCAAAGACTCATTTTGAAGGGAAAGAAATGGGCGTCTCTTTTTTCCTTTAAAACTCTAATAAAGAACCTCCTGGTTGTGGGGCAGGTCTGGTTCTCTTAGGGTCACCTCAGTGGACAACAATGTGACAGATAGAAAGCAAGGGTTCAATTTAAGCTCCTGATCCTTTTTGAGTGTTTCGCTTGTCTACTGTGGTGTTGTGGTTTTACTCCGGGTGCTCTCTCTGGTTTCCTCCCACATTTACTTTTGTTTTTTTTACTGCATAACTTACCTTTGTTTCATTTCTTTTGCCAATTATATGTTCTTCAATCACTAGCACACAATTTTGACAACAGGACACACACACTTCATTCATATTAACAGACTTTATTTTCAGCAAAATAAACTGTGCTAAATTCAAAACATTTATCCTTGGTGGCCTTTTACTATAAGAGGATTCTGCAGGGAAAGACCATTGAAATCTGCACAAAATACAAAGACTTTGTTTTTTCCTTCACAGCACATGAGTGCCACATATAGCACACACTATATATCAATACAGCAAATGAAATAAAATTAACAGTAAAAGAAAACAAACATAAAAAGTATCATGCTGCCTAGCTCGGCCTGGTCACAGCACCTCATCAACACCTCAGCCAGCATCTTCCATGACAGCAAGTGAAGAAATGCCTCGAGTGTATCCAGGCCTCATCTGCCACCACATCAAAAGCATTGTGCCTCTTCCATTGCCTGTAAAAGAGGCCTCTGCTTTTCCTCCTCTCCCTCTATTTTGACTTCTAACTCTACGTGCTAGATCAATTTCCACTGTCGGCGTAAAAACGTATTCACCTATGGTCCTTTTCATACTGCAAACATCTTGATTAATGAGTCAATAACTAAGCGATCAGGTGTTTGGCCAGGTGTCACTGGTTTCTTGGGGAATGTTTCAGGAGTATGGCACTTTGAAAGGTAGTGTTTTGAAATGGCAAAGAAGTGACTTCATGGCAGATTACTGTGTCTTACTGTATGTAGAGAACTATGTGTAGTGTGTTGCAAAGAGTATAATTAATAATTCACTTTCGGCTGTTCCCATGAGGGGTCGCCACAGCAAATCGTCACACTAACAACTCACATGGTGAAGTCTGGCAAGTGTTTTATGCCGGATGCCCTTCCTGACGCAACCCTGAATCGAACCCAGGGCACAGCGGCGAGAGCACTGAATCCTAGCCACTAGTCCATCAGGGACCAGTGGCAAAGAGTATTATGTTAAATTGCAAGATGGATCCAAAGCAGCGTTTAGAGTCTTTGGAGAGCTGAGTTTTTGCTCCCTGAGTGTGAGTTTTGTTAATTGTGCCAAGCGTCATTTTAGTGTGTTAGCAACTAAAAAAAGCTATACAAATAATATCCAAGGTGGTAAACTTTATAATCTACTCCACATGAGCAGGTCTTGTGCTTGTGTTGTTTGCTCAGTTTTCCAAATTAATCTACTGACTAAAGACAAACTATTGTCAGACTCTATCAGTTGTGCTGTATGAGCTATCTGTTTAGAAATAACAACAGAAATATAAACAATTTTCCAAATGGAATTCAGCATATCACATCTGTAAACAACAGATCATGGAACATTCACTAACTTTTTATTTCACCTGTTTGCCATTTCATAATAATTTCGTTAAGGTTTCCTGGAAAGAAACATGTACTTTGGTATTAATTACAGAAAAACAGACAACGTTCTAAGACTGTTTTTCCTAGTTAGTCCACAGAGTCGTGTTGAGTTTATTTTTGCCTTCCAGATGAATTTCCATGAAAACATTTTAAACTTCAGCCAATACTTCATGTATTCATTTATTATTTGAAATCTTATTTTTCATTTATGCTGAATTGTATGGTTGTCTGTAGACAAATTTCACACTTGCCAAGCGTAGCTAACCAATAAAACATGTTACTTTTCACTGGCTCTATATATAACGTACAGTAAATGACCATGCTGTAACTCAGAACCACTACAGCCCCCATCAGTTTAAACAGCTCTGATAGATTCGCATATTTCTCTGGCCCGGGATATAGTAGGGAGCCAGACTTATTCCTGGGACTATGTGCCATCATGAACAGACAGCCCATTTCATTTTAATTAAGCTGAGATCAGGACCATGAATTATACAGTGCTTTATTCATCTTTGCACTCTGTTTTAAAGTTTAATGAGAAACTCACAATAGCACAATGTTAACATCCCTAAGTGAAACATCTGAACAGCATCAGCTTTGGTATTTTTGTTCCTCTCTTGCTGTATATGTCTTTGGTATAAATAATCTAGTTCAATCATCCTATTGCTAAAATATGCATTATCAAAGAGAAATGGAATTTAAACATGCCATGTTTCAAAGCATCTCGGTTCAAATGTGTTTTATTATTTATGGCATATTTATGAAATAATCGTGGGCATGACAAACACAGACATGCTTCCCTAGACTGTATTCCAGTGTTTACATTGATCATCATGTGCTCTACATCTGTCTGTTCTGTTTGTTCACTCATACCATAAGACAAAAATTGAGAGCACAGTCGAATAGAAAAAAACACTTTCAGTATGAATTGCATGCAAGGTCATACACCACAAAACTGCAGTTTATCTTATTCCTATTAAGACGCATTTCACATGCCCAGTGACCTTGTGTTTTTCAAGTCAGCATTTTAAACAAACTTTAAAAATGATTCCAGCCAAGACACATGTTCACACACACATATACACAAATAACGTACAATGTAAGTTATTTTCTACATTGTAAAAAAATATGTGAGACTTAAAAACTAGGAAATAGCACACAGCATTATGTATTAGTAGCAAAATAGTGTTAAAGAGAGCAAAATATTTTTTACATTTTAAATTCTTCTAATTAGCAACCTTTTGCTTTGGTAACAACTCTGCACGCTCTTGAGTTGTGTCTGAAATCACTCCTTATTCACTTATTTAGTACTCCCAAGGTCCAATTAACACAAGGGCTAACCCGGAGGTGAACGTGGCTGAAGGCAAGTGTGTGCAGTTAGTTGAAGCCACGACTGTTCAGCTAGCACTGCAGATGAAGTGGACATGCCATCACTAACAGCTGTAGAACCTCGCTACAATAATTTTCCATCTGATAAAATGCCAAGCATTGCATTGTGGGATTGTTAGCAGAGAGTAGTGTACGTGGCATGTATGATGCTTTTTACATGGCACTGTGGAATTTTAAGCACACTATAGGCAAACAGATTGACACACTCAGCATTGGGACACCACTTCAACATGTTGAACACACTATATATTGAGTAGCAAGTGATTTTGGACACAGCCTCGGTATCCTCCACGCCAGCTTCATGAGGTAGGTATGGCAACTGAATGGAATCAGAGGAAAATTAGATTCTTTCAAAATATGAGCACATCTTTAAATGTCCTCAGACTTCTGTAGTTATTTGTCCCTGTGAACTTTTTTTTATAATGCTTTAATATACAGCCCACAAATTATAATGTAATGTAATGTGTAATGCTTCAATAAAACTGGAACAAATTGAATACATACACATGGTGACCTGTCTTTCACTTACATATGATACAAATTATGTTATTAAGTAGGCCAGGTCTATCAATTTTTTGTTTGTTTTTGTTTTTGTATATAGTATGAGTAACTCCAATTGAGGTTATGGGTGCTATTCTTTTACTTTTTAGTGTCCTACTGGCAGCACAAAGCATTGCTCATGTTTTTCTGGGGTATGGGGGCTGTACATGTGCACTGATACTGCAGTCACCATAAAGTCACAAAAGATGTTAGCAATAGAATAAAATGGACAGTTTTCAGCCTTTTTCCAATATAATGACAGTGTATTTAGTTGGTACATGGGCATTCTCTTGTTCCTGAGATAATTACAAAGTAAATGTTGGTACATGTTAGATGTTTACTTATCCTGGTAAAATTACACAGTATTGTCTCCACTATCAAAATTATTAAACAGAAAACAAAATAGGACCATGTCCAACAGACAGATGTCTAATGTTCAGTAGTACATAGAATGATTATGACTCTGCCAGCCCTTTTCTCCTGTTGTTCTCCCCTTGGCTTGCACTGTACCTAATTGAAGGCATTGCCTGTTTTCATAAAAACAGTATTTTCATAATTTAATTATGAATATTTAGTAAAATATAACAATGTCACAGCAGTGTATTTTTCATGTTTTCTATGCAGTGACTAACATAAGGGGCATTTTACCTCTTGTTTCTAAAAGAGCTGCCACATGCCAGGTTTCTCACCTCACTCCCCTTCAGCTATAGCATAATGACGCACTGCAGTAAGCAAGATGCACAGCAATTATTCTCAGAAAACTTCTTTCTGTCAGTCTGTCTGTTCCCTGGCTGCTTCTTCATGGTCCATTCTCCAAACAGAGCTCTGTTCAAGATTGCAAATAAAAAATGTCAATTTTAAATCCAAGGACATTTTTCTCAACAAGACAGGGTGGCTGGGAAAGAAAGACAAAAGTCACAACAGTTTATTTGGACTCTTCAGAGATCATCACTCCTTCGACTGAGAGAAAGTCTTTGATGTCATATCATTTAACAGTGAACATATTGCTGCATATGTGAAGATACTCAATATTTAACAAGCACAGACCTACTGTATGCAATGACTGACTGTTTCAGCCAGCAATGAACATCTGTACCATTTGCATACATATAGTATGATCATATATACAGATAAGCTGTGTTGTAGACTGAAGAATAATATTCAAAGGACATGTGATACATATAAACTATGACATATTTACAAGGTAAACCACGTTTGCTTTCAAATACAACACTTTGAAATTACACAGACATTTTTTGGAAATTTGAGAATTATTATTCATGTCATACCATTCACAAAATCATATCAAAAAGATTACATGCAATCAAATGGAAGTAGCATCTGCAATGCATCTGTAATGCAAATGGTGTGTCCAGTTTATGATTCAGATTATTAGCTATGCCTGACAAAATAACCTGATCCATATGGTGTTGTGTATCACTAAATGAAATTTGTTTTGTCAACACAGAGTCACGTTTGATGCCACCAATAAACTAAACAGTGGGGGAACAAAGATCTTGTGCTGTGTGTTCCACATTGCTTGATCCATTATACAGTATGCTAGTGCCTCCTTTGCTACAGTGCTAATGTTGCTAGCAGTAGATCACAACATTGTACCGTAGTACAATGTTGTGATTGTCACAGTAGTGATTGGTAGGGGTGGTCGGATCAATACCAAAACTATCGATGGTACTGATACAAGTTTTCTTTTGAATATCAATAAGAGACAATCAGGTCAGTACCAACCTGTGTCAGTGGAAACCCTCTTGCTTAAAATTTTACTTAACTCAAGGCTTTTAAATGAACAGTACAGTGTTTCGGTGAGAGTCCAAAGGTGGTGAAGTTGAACAAATATTTTTCGTGTAAAACAAGAATAAGCTGAGGCCTCAACCCGTTCTGGTCACATCAGCAATATTAAAAGTGCATCTCGGGAGTCTACAGCCATGCTAGGACATCTCTGAGACTGTACTTAGACCCACTGGTGCTCTGTGCTAAATGCTAATGTACAGCTGACAAGCTTGTAGTGACAATGCTAACATGTTGATGTTTAGCAGGTTGCCTATAATGTGTATGATGTTCATCTTTAGTGTGTTAGCATGTAGGCATTTTCTAATTAACACAGCACAAGTGTGGCTGATGGGAATGCCATTAGCTTTGCAGGGATTTGGTCAAAACCCAAAGTTGTGCACAAAGTTAAACTGTGAATATTTTATTATTAATTTATTACAGTTTATCCTCTGAGGAAAGAGACTGCCTGAATTATATTTCATGGCAATGCAAATGGGGCACTAGAGGAAAAGTCAAGGGATCAGACATTAGGATACATCTTATGGAAACCACAAATGTTTGAACAAAATATTGAAAGGTACAGTAGAACATCATTGTTGGTGTATTGTGTTGATGAGAAGACATTTCACTGGATAAGTGAAATGTTTGACACTCTACTAAAGGTAAAGTCAGGGGATCACAAAAAGTAGCCATTACAGTCCACCGTCTATAGATAATGGATGTCTGTAAACTCCATGATGATGTATCAAGAAGTTGTTGAGGTATTTCATTCTGGATCAACAAAGTGACAATCAGCTCTAGAACCACAACATGGTTAACAAGATCTATAGCAACCAAGTACTGTATGTGTTATGTAATTAATAATAGTAATAATAGTAATTTTATTGCAGTCCTATCACACCTCATCCTGATTGATGTAGCTGTTACAGAACAAACTACAATATACTGTTACTACAAGGCTGTGCAGTTCTGCTGTTTCCCCCCCACACTTACTAGAGGATTGTGTGTTAGTCAGGAGGGAACAATCTTGTGACACCATGTTCAACAAGCGGGGATTGAGAAAAGCATCTGAGACATCAAGCTTTTATCTGCAGTCTGACAGGCTTTTAAGGCGGATGTACAGGGAGCTGACTGTGGCAGCCTCCTCTTGCACTGGCTCCTTCAGATCAGGCTGACCCATGCACACGATGGGCACCGTTCAGACCGGCCGGCAGCATTAAGATGGTGAAGGTTGCAGCTGGAAACACAGAGGAGGAAATGAAAGAAATATTCATGTGTTATACTTGAAAAAACTGTTTTCTAGCTATGCAGTTATTCTAATTTGGGAGTGTCATCAGTTAAACTTGGCTTGCCTTGATTTTCATTTGTATGAATAAGGTGCAATAACCTTTCTAGGGCTGCCTTATTATTTCCATGAAAGTGTGTTCAAATGCATATGGCACCTTTCCTTGTATAATTTAAACTGTTATGTTTCTTATGATGAATGCAGGCAATGTATTGCTGCCTTTTTAAGGCTAAGATGTTACCTTATTTAAAAGCATTTAGGCCTACAGATAATTCTGGAATCCAGAATTAGATCAATTTAGCAGGATTGCTGTAGACAACATCTGTCATGCTGTAAATGACAATCTTCTCAGTGTTTGATTATATTGTTTGCTTTCTGTTGATGAAGTTAGCCCTCAATCAGTTTAACACATCACAACTTAAAAGGTGCAGCAATGTTATCCCTGTTTACTTACTGTGAATGGGCGCCTCGACGTCCCAGACAGACCACATCTGTACGGTGAAGAAAGGTGCCCAACAGATGATGTAGGCGAGCAGAATGACCACGGCCATCTTCACCGTCTTCACCCTTGCCTTGGACACGCCCGCCACGCTGCTAGCCCTGGAGGACAGCGACTTACTGACCGCCTCTCCGCCGTGGTGCGTCTTCATGTGGAAGTTCATGTGCACTGTGCGGCAGATGCGCACCTGGCACACGATCATCGTGAGAATGGGCAGGACGAATATCACCAGAGTGGTCCAGGTCACGTAGGCTCTCGGTCCCCAGGGCTTGATGAACTGCGCCCAGCAGTCATACACACCGGGAGCGACTTCGACCCGAGAGAAGATGAAAACCTGTGGGAGGCTGCCGATGAGAGAGACGCACCAGGCGGCGCAAACCGGACCGTTCCAGCGCGCCCTGCGTCTCTGGAAAGTCACCATGGGATTGCAAATGGCTTGATACCGGTCTATTGTCATCACTACTACCATATAGGTGGAGGCAAACATCCCGACCACCTGCAAGTACTTCACTGCGCGACACAATAAATCTGGACCGATGAATCTGTCTGTAATGTCCCACATGAGTTGGGGACAAACTTGGAAGAATGTGACCACCAGATCCGCGACGCACAGGTGGAAAACAAAGACGCGCATTCTTGAGAGCTGCTTCCTCCCCTTCCACAGCACCAACAAGAGTCCGAAGTTTAGGATGCCCGCGGTGATAAAAATGACGGACAGAAGGGCTATTTCCACCTGAGCCAAGCGCTCATCTCGTGGCTCATCCCCAGACAGTGCGTTTTCCAGGGTGACGTTACTGGTATTTAGAGTGAACCAAGCCATGCTTTCACATCAAATACAGCGGAACACCGTTACATAATCATTCCAGGTGAATGCAGCTGAAGTGAAGGCATGTAAAAAAAACAACAAAAATTGTAAGCAGACTGGGTGGAATGTTTTTCAAAAGGTAATTCCTTGAAAAATGTCGCAGTTGGACTTTAATCTGTGGATCTCCAGTAAGCAACAAGTGCTGAGCGTCTCCAGGCAGAAAATGAGGTGTTAGTAAAGGACAGAAAAGGGCTTATAAGTCTAAGGAGTCGCTGCAGGAGGGAGGAGCAGCCTCACTCACTTTTGCCAGGTCACAGGCGCTTCAAGGCTGCGTAAATAGTGAACTGTGCATGGCGTCATTTTGAGGATGGCCACTGTGCCTTCTTATACCTCCTAACCACTGCTGGAGATGTTTCTGTTTATGTTCATGCACAAACTGCTGTATTCGGTAGTGAACACACTGAAAACAAAATAATTATGGGTCACTCTCTTTACTTAAAAGTATATCCTTCTGATAGGCTACGGTATATTTTTCTTTCCCAAAAACACACCAAAGAACTCGCACATAATTGTAGCTGAACTGAGGAGCAAGCCAAAATAATATAAAGCATATTTCTGCTTTCCATTATTGTTGTAACAATGAAAATCACTATTATCTGTAGTAACTGAACTAAGATTTTATTGCCTCATCACACCAGTCCAACCACTGAATAAGTGACAGAGTTGACATCTGAATTTCCTGAGCACCATATAATATCAGCTGTTTATCTGAAGAATTTGCGTAAACAGCAGGGCTCTGTAATAACACATATGGTGAAATCAACTGTCATTACACATTTTCTCATAAGGTGGCAGCTGGGATGCTAAAAGCACATTGTGTGTGAGCTCCTCAAATGTACATGGCAATGCAGATAAACAAATGTGACCCTGGAGTAGTTTAGAATGAAACTGCACTCTTTGGTGAGGATCCATGTCTTGGTTCTTGAGGCGACCTTTCTCAACAATACGCATCAGTTTGCTCGATCCACACCTCTGAGGAGCACAATTACCGTGTCACATGTCCATGCCATTACTACTGTATGAGACACAAAAATGCCTCTTCTTTTTGTGCGTTTAAGGCTTTATGTAACTCAGGAGTTCGTCTTTGTCCATGCAATAATGACTTTTCTTCCAGATGTCACGGAGCTTCTGTAAGGTGTCACCTATCTCCTTGCCTACTATGCCCATCCTCCTCAGATCGTGGCCACTGACGGGGAAACGAGGGATGGACCATGTGGAGAGCTCTGCCAGTAGTTTGTCCTCACCTTGATACTTTAGCAACTCACACACTTTACTCTGCGTATCCAGCTCCCGATTCTGAAAATGTAAACAATGTGTGAATTAAAGCCACTGAAAAGCTGGTTTCAGATTTTAAATATTTCCTTAACATTAAATATTAATGAATCAATACATGACACTCAAAATGTAAAGCCAGAAAATAGGTATGATTACATTATTTCTTTACTTTATTATTTAAACACTCCACTAATCAGTTTCATCAGGAATGTGTGGGTGTGGTTTGATCAGATTTTACTGACAGTGGTCTGTCATCAGATTTGATTCAAATATTCCTTAACTGTCAGAGGTTCATAAATATACTGTACATGAAATCACATTTTCCACCTGAGCCACAGCCCACTTCAGCCTGTGAGCAGTAACCCAGACTGTCATAACTTTATTACAGTCTGTAGAAACAACGTTTTCAGGGCCTCATCTGCTTTTGCGTTTTCTATCTAACTCATGTCTAGTTACTAGTGTCCAATCTGCTAGTCACATCTAATCTTTTCAAAACCTTTTTTAAATCTGTTAAATACTGTACTATTAAGTAAGGCCCACAGTTCGACAAGCCAAAGAACAAAAACTCCAGTTTAAAGGTGTATTAACTAAGATTTTACACACTGTCTGATAAATAAAAGCAGACAATTTGGTAGTGGTGGGGTCGTACATCTCTCATCGCTCTCCTAGGTACAAGCTGGGTTAGCTTAGCTCTTCCCTTTCTGTAACTACTATACTGCAACCTGAGTTTATCTACACACTTTATGGCTGGCTAAAGTAACATGACTGCAGCAACGTGCTGGTACCCGGGGTGGAAATACAAGGCAGCTAGGAGAAACTTGGCTCCTCTTACAAGACAGGAGCTTCCCTGAAAACATGAAGCTTTCTTACCTTTAAGGGAAAGGGGGCAAGGTCTCTTAAATATTAACAACATGCTATTTTTGCCATGCATTTCTATTTTTCTGTACTTTCATCATCATGGATTTCAGGCATAATCTCCACAGGGGACCAGTTATCAAATGCTCCTTAAGCTATAAGAAAATACATGTTCTCTGCTCAAAAGAGTTCAACTGACTGACTAAAACATACTGAATGTTCACTGAACTCCTCTTGCTTTATGTTGGTTTACAACCAGTAACAGTGAACACATCAGCCGTGCACAGGGCTCACGACTGGTCAGCATGGCGCCAATGTTTGGCCATCCTGTGCCCTGCTTGTGTCATGTAGGCCTACAGCTGATCACTCACAAGTAAAACGACCTGTTTACATGGCAGCATCATTTATATTAGATGTAAAGTCTGTTTCTGTTTATTCCATCTGAGGTTTGTCACTTTGGATGTCCAAAGTTTCATTCTGTCTTTTGTAAGTGGGGTCTGTAGTTGACACTAAACAGTCTCACTGTGAACCAGCCACACTCTCAATATGTGGTTGGACAAAATGCACAAACACTTGAAGGTGTAAATTCTGTGCACAAGAGTGTGCATTGTGTAGAGCATAGTCTGTGAAAGTCAGAGAAAACAGAAACAGTCTACTTATTCATCCTTTTCCCAAAACATGCTCAACTGTGAGCGCACTGGATCCAAACTGGACAAGCTACTGCCTACTGTGTTATTTATTTTAAGGAGCTGATGGCCTTAACCTTAAGGGATTATAGATCTAAGCCTATAATGCTATAACTATATGCATGTACAGTAGACTATATATTCATGAACTGGCCTCAGTTCAAGCGCAGTAACTGTGAATATCTGCCAATATCAAGATAGTTTCTACCTGCAGTAAATGTTAAGTGTGTATGTGACACATCGTATTTTTCAGCTCAAACTACTTGATCTGCATACTGGAGGTCCTGTTGCAAAATATATATATATATCAGTTTATAAGCTTCAACTATAATATGATATAAAACAATAACATGTTTACTGATACAACAATTCCTTGAATGCCTTTTCCAAGTGTTATTAGTCTGGGTGAGAACCACTGACTGTATATAAAAAATGGACAAACCCACCAGGACATCACACATTGGCTTTCTGAACAGCAGCTGTGAAGCTCAAGTCTGCTTGACACCATATTGGTAGTGCTTCACTGACATGAGACTACTTCTATGCACTGTCTGGAGGAGACAGACACTTACATCAAAAATAAAGTCAGTGAAGGGTTTGAGGCTGTTCGACTCATCCTCGGTCTTTCGGAGCTCCCGTCTGTATTTGATCAGGAAAAGAGCCAGACTCTTCTCTTCCCTGGACACCTTCAGTCGGAGGTCCATCTTTTCCACATCCTCTGGGCAGTGGAAGAGTGCAGCCAGGCTGGTCATGGGTTTGGGAGAGTGGTGCTTGACGTTCTGCCACACTCTCTTCAGCTCATCAACATCGCCACCTGGAGGTAAACCTGAGTAGGAGCAGGGACAAGACGGATGAGCAGTGCTGATATGCACAACAGCTACAGAAACAAAACAAGACCAAAATATTGCAGAGAATGAATGCTCTGTCATGCAAAGAAGCATGACACTTGTCAGACAGTATCTTTTATAAAATGGAGCCACACTGACTAGTTTGTTAACATTTTGGGCCAACTATTTCTAAATACAATAACAAGCACATACGTCACTTAAGCACTTCTATTGCCCACAGAACTGTCTATCATAGGTAGAGTATAGCTAAATTATAACATCATTGACCGCCGGTTGTCGATAGTGATGGTGAGAAGACTGCAACGTTATTCGCAGTTCATAATAATTGTGTTGTGCAACAAGGAGCTTGTGATGTGTCAGGGTCAGTTTGCTACACAAAATGTGCCCACTAAATGTCAGTAGTAATAATGAGCTCCTAAATGAGGCTTCATGAGCTGAACCTTTTGGTAAAACTATCGGCTGGGAAGCCTCGACACCCGAATGAGGCTTCTTCTCACCATCACCATCGACAACCGGCGGTCTTTGTCAAGGACAGTTTTGCACATGCAAATCAACTCAAAACATGGATAGAAATGTTATGTGACATAAGGTGGAGGAGGGATTTTTAATGGGAATCTCTGTCAAAAATATTTTGTTTACACATGAAAAAGGCAATATTGGGGAAAAAAATCATTCATAAATTATTGAAGCTGAATGTGCTGATATATACATTTGTTCTTGTACTATAACCTCTACCCCCTTTATGAAAAGTGTGGCTGCTGCTACAATAATTGTGTGTCAGATCCTCTGAATGCCCCATCTCACCCCCTCTCTCACCTATGTACTGGGCCAGGTCCAGCGTATACACCAGCTCCAGCAGATGGGCAGCGTGGTTACCAACTGCCATCTTCTTTATTTCCATCCAAATCCTCTCTCCTGATATTGCTGCCAGTCCACGACCGTTTTCCTTGATGGCAGCCAGTATCTCAGGCTCATGGTCATCAGGCTTTAATGCCACCCTGCCGTAGAACCTACGGTTAAAAGACAGGGTTGAGGTCAAACAAATGGTTTTCTACTTTCTATTTTAATTATTCTTGGTTAAAATAAAGTCCCACTCTATTTTTTTTGTTGTTTTTACTGTAGTTTGAATTGGGTAAGCATTAAAATGAAATGAGGCAGGCCACCTAAAATAGCGCAGTATTCTCAGGTAGTCCTCTTGAATCCTTTCTTCAGCGCTGCCGACAAACCGAACTTTATGGTTCTGCAGGTCTTCATATCCCTGGAAATAATCATATAATGTGCCATCGAGACCTGTGAGAGGCAGAAAAAGTCAACACACTTGTTAAGGAATTTTCACATGACTGTAATTCTCCCAAGTAATGAGTGACAGTCTTCCAGATGTACATCTCTCAGACAGAAGCAATGATCATCATTTCACTATTAATCCAAAGATGCAGTGGAGGCCAAAGGCACAGTTACCTAAAAACATGGAGTTGATGGTGAGATCTCTCCTCTCAGCGTCTTTGTACCAGTCAGTGGTGAATTGCACCTCAGCATGACGTCCATCCGTCTGAACATCCACTCGCAATGTGGTCACTTCAAAATTCTCATTGTGTAGCTATGAATGACAACCAATGCACAAGACACAAATGAATCAAGGTACAGCAAAGACTGCCATCATGCTGCTATAACAGAATGACGGGTACATATGCACCCACTGGTCCTTTTATCCACTCTCATGTGTGGGGAGTTTATTCATTCACATCTTTAAATCAAGACCCACTCATATGATTGAACAGACTGAATGCATGTGCAAGAAGTGTCACACCCTTGCTGTAATGGTCCCATGCTTCTCTCCTTTGTTATTGATCATCCGGATGCCAGCACTTTGGAACATGTGCTTCATCTCCTCTGGAGTGGCTGTGGTGGCAAGGTCCACATCTTCAGGCCGTTTCCCAGACAGCAGATCACGTACAGCGCCTCCAGCTATCCTGAGCTCATGCTGGTGCTTCTCAAACACCTCTGGAACGAGCAGATACACACTAGGGAGTTAGCCAACATTTCAGAGGCAGTGTGGTCGAACATCTAAGCAATCTCTCTCTGATGGAAGAGCCACAGCTTTTCTGAATTAATGACAAACTGAAGTCAGCAAAAAAGACAAATGTTTTGTTAAAAAGGTAGTTCATATTATTCTTATTACAAGCTGAAGAAAGGCCATCCTGTCAACTGTCTGCAAACTTAACTTTCCATGTTAATAATTTTCACTGTCATTTCTATCTCACTTTGACACTCAAGTTTGCCAATCACCTAACTGGTCTTTTTTACTGTGCTTATTGTTTTTTTTAATTAAACAGTGATATTATTTCTGTATCCACAAATTTAGAAATACATCTTAAGATAATGATGAGTGTAAATCTGTTTCTCATAAGTCCCTTGACTTTTTGGAAGTGCAACACTAAAACCACATCTCATTTGGAGCTTAGCAACATGATAGTGCTCAAGCTGAAAAACTGTACACCGATATTTTTAGTCCTAATGATATGCTTTATGTTTAAAAAATCTCTTATCATAATAATAATTAGGATAAAACAAGCTTTAGTTTTTGGCTCCAAAAGAAGCTGATCAGAGTCAACTCTGTGACTCCTAAGTACGTTAATTTTGAGGTAAGCACGTGCAATGACTATAAAAAGGCATAATTAATAAATATGATGAGTCACCGAGGCCAAGGGTGAAGAAAAAGTACAGCCTACTGGTGCTAGAAATATTAATGTGTGACAGTGAACATTTATCTTTAAAAACCACAGCAG